ATACCTTAAAATCTATTTAATGGTTGGTCATGCACGCCGATGTGGTTAAGACGCCTGCTTGATAAGTAGCAGTTCGTTGGTTCTGTTCCTACTTGCAGCTCTTCTGTTTTTTCTTGTTTTTTTTTTTTATAAAACAGATTTTTTTAATTTCTTCCTTTGACGAATATAATTAAAAAATATTTTTATATTCAATTTGCGAATTATTTTTTTTTTTTTATCAAATTTGTATTTTCCTTTCAATTGATAAAATCAGCTTTATAATGTACGCATAATTTCTCCCGAAGCACCTCAATTTCACAGCGCAAAAAGTGGCCGCGTGTATTACTGGTAACAAAGAGCAGTTTACCGTAATATCCGCAACTACTTTTTTAGCAGATTCAAAAAAATTTTAATATTTTATTGTGACGAAAAGCACACAAGCAACTTTGAGAAGCTATTAATACAAATATCTTTATTTATATCACAGTTGGCATTACAGAATTTCGTCATACACGAATGAAAAAAATAATAAAACAAATGATTTTAAAATAAATAAGCTGAAGAGAATCTTAATAAAACTAATCTTTTCCTTTTTTAACCTCGAATGCCATTATAGTAATTAACCCTATCTATGTTTCCCAAATCATCATTTAAGATTAATATAGATTTTATCATTCTCTGATAAAAAATATTGTAATTTAAAATAAATTTTAAAAAAAGCATTTCTCTAAAGCGTTGTGATTATACCAGAGAGACAATTTAATTATTTTAATAAAAAGTCTTTTCCAAAATTGATTTAAGTTCACCGTTTTCGGTATCGCTTGGGGAGCGACAATGTCTTCCATCGGCACTGAGAGAGAACCAGCTCTGGAGCTCTGGGCTCTTTAGAGATGTGGGTTCTTAACTATTCTTATTTTTAGAGGCTTCTGGTTACTATATGGGATTTACGTACTCCCGTTCACCGTGAAAGAAAATGAGAATGAAATGAAGGACTGTGGCATAACTACCACTATAAATATTAAATACGAATTCACTGGGATATAAGACATGGTAACTTGATTCTATCTTGAGGAACCCTTTCATAGATAATGGTTGACTTAGTCGATTTAAAAATCCCCACATTAATGACCCGGGCGTGACAAGAACTTGCCAATATTGATGGTTGTTCCACATTAAACAGTTGATATACTGCTCAAAAAAAATCCGGTGAAGTAAATAAAGTTTCCCGGTCAATAAACAATATTGAAGAAAAATAGATGAGCGAAATGCTATAAACGAAAATTTTAAAAAAAATGGACAAAATGCAATAAGAAATGAAGAAAAAATATAATGAGCGAGAATGATATCAATAAATAAACAGCATGAATCAACTAGTGGTATTCGTTCATCGAATTCTATCACAGATAAAATTCTGGAAGGGGAGTAATGTGGCGCAACTACCACTATAAATATTAAATACGTATTCACTAGTTTATAAGACATGTTAACTTGATTCTATCTTGAGGTACTTTATGATAGATGATGGGATGGTTGACGATGGTTGAGTCGATTTATACATCCCCACATGCTACAGGACCACTTTCACTTGATGGGGCTTTTCATATGCAAATAATACAAAAATGAATGCGTACAAGAACCTGATAAGCGACTTTTTGGTTGGTAGATTTTTTTTCCCAGTTCTCTATTGGCGATCGCAACGAACTATAGGGGGCGTTGTTGTATGAGATCCATACCAGCGATTTCTGTATGAACCGTCATTCAGTTTCTCTGGAAACGTCTTTAATGTAGCGTGTAGCATTGTAACGTTCCTTCTTTAATGTGGCTTATTAAATTTAAAAAAGAAAAATTTTTGATATCCTTCCTTATACAACCGAAAACAAGATGGTATATCTTTTTTTTTTTAAAGAAGGAACATCCAAAACACATCTGAAAAATATTTGTAAATAAGCAGAAAAAAATATGTATCTTCTTATTAGAGTTAAGACCTAATGCCTGAGAAATAGTTTTACTAAATTTAATGATATAACCTGAGAGGCTTATATAAACTTTACATTCCATAGTTTTAAGAATCATATTACTTCAAACATTAAAATGAGCAAAAAGTATACATAAGCTTCATAATTTTATGTAATTTAATTTTGCAAATAAAGTTTTTTGACAAGTAATTTTATCAAAAAATTTTAAGTTTTAATAAAAATCATTATTTAGAAACTGAAAAACGTAAAGTAAAGAATGCTTACGATACAAAAAAAAAAAAAAACAATTCTAAAAATTCCTTATATTAAAATAAACAACTTTCATGTTTTTTCTTTTTTGATTCATAATCGGACGTAGAAAACCATTCTATAGAAAACTATCATCAAGAAAAAAACTACTTAAAAGTAAAATTTTTTATTTTATAAAAATTAACACTTACCTGCTTTATAAATCAGAAGAATTCCAAAATGATTTGTTCTTCGATTTTTGTTACCATTTTTTAGTGCTACGAAAATGCGTCTTTGGGATTTGCCAAAAATAGAACAAGATGCAATTTTATTTTTTCTGGAGCGAAATATTTTGCCCATTGTCCACCGAAATCCGATAAACTACTTTGATTTTAAATAAAGTGTTTCGTTTTATGATTTGTCACAAAAATTTTAGGTGTAGATTGGCGGCACTTAAAAACAGCCAAATCTGTAGCTGCTGTGGCGTTAATACATAAGTACCGAATTTTTATTCATACTTTTCTGAATCATATTACTTGAAACATTAGAATATGCAAGAAGTATACATAAACACATAATGTTATACCATTTATGTTTTCAAAAAAAGTATTTTGACAACAATTTTTATCAAAAAATTATAAACTATAAAACGGAAAATAAAGAATTCTTAGGATAAAAAACGATTTTAAGAATTCTTTACATTGAAATAAAAACTTTCATATAGTTTCTTTTCTTATTATTCTTATAGTTCTTAATCAGACGTAAGAAACCATTCTGTAGAGAACTATCATCAAATAAGAAAAAAAAGTTTTACAAGCTAATTTTTTATTATAAAAATCATAACACTTACCTTCTTTATAAATCCGTAGAGTTCCAAATGAAATGTTCTTCGTTTGAAAGTTTTATTTTCAAATAATATGTGCATAGATTATCCCTTTATTACTTTTAGATAACATACCACACATCAAAATTTTATAATTGTAAGATCTCGATATGAATTTGAATATGTAGCTTAAAAACAGAACAGCTGAATTCTAGTTGAAATTATCTATTCTTTCAAAACTAAGAAATACTTACCAAGAAAACGATAAAAAATTTATTAATCATCAGCACAAATGACACTATTTCAAGTAATTTGGTTGATTCTTTATTGTTGTTTTCCGAATTATATAGATACAGAAATATATACTGTTCTATAACAAAGAAGAATTCTATAACTATTGCAGTTCTTGACGTTCTGAATTCACATTTCTTTATTGGAATGACGAAAGCAATGTTGACTTCATTTTAATTTGTAATGAATTGGAGACAGAAAAAATTATTTTCCCGTAATATACACATCTGTAGCAGCAAGTGATCATGAAATTGTAAGTTATGTTGTTGGTAATAGAAATGTAAAAATTATTGAGAAATTGTTCTTCAAATGCTTGGCGTGTTCTGCTTCAATGTTTGGCATGTTCTGGCTAGTTTTTCAAGTTCTTCAGCTGTTCCTTAGGGAAATTTTGATTTTTATTTGCTGCTAAGAAAATGGCGTCCGTCATGGCCAATGATTTTGATGGAACTAAATTAAAACGTGATAAATTAATGTCTGATATTTACAGGCTCCCGAAAGAGGGCGTACTCGAGCATTGCGATCGCGAATAATACGCCATCTGGGGAGAGACCGGTTTCATGCCTTTAGCCCTTCTCCCTTCCCTCTCTTCCTCTTTTCAGTTGTATAGGAATGTACTACGATATTTTCCCTTTTCTTAATATTTTTTCTGTCCCGCAGTGGACTGATCGTTAAGACACGGTTCCCAGCAGATCCCAGAAGTCAAGCATCACTGGCAGTGTGCGGGTGGGTGACCACTTGGATCAGTCTGCGTAGGGACCGAGGGTGTGCGGTATTGGTCCTCGTTAAACTGTGCTACCGTAAAGTGCTCGTCTTCGCGCGCAAGTCGTCGGGCTACAGAAGCGGGGGTGCCATCCCTTCCGCAGAGGATCAAAATTGTGATGGCGTGTCTTCGGATCATCCTCCGGTATGTTACCCAGACCGTCGCCAATAGCCCATTGTGCAGCTCTAGTGCGACGTAAAGTAACAACAACAACAATATTTTTCCTTTTTATTAAATAAAAATATTTTTAAAAATTTCCGTGATACTTTTCTTTAGAACTATGTTTAATGTAGTTTTCAGTTTCATATAGTTTTCCAACTTAAAAGATTTCAATCTATATGAAAATCAAGAGAGAAACTAACGTACTTCCTTCCTCTTTAGACTTTCCACACGCTAATGGGGAAAGCATGTCATAGTGCCATAGTGTGCACATAAGTGTTGCCATAGGTATAGAGTTCTGCTCTACGCCACCTGCAGTCCATTTCGATCGCCAATTTTCCATAAGGAGATATCACAAAATTGCATCTAGGTAAGTCCCGCAGTGGACTGATCGTTAAGACACGGTTCCCAGCAGATCACCGAAGTCAAGCATCACTGGCTACGGTCAGCGTGCGGGTAGGTGACCACTTGGATCAGTCTGCGTGGGGACCGAGGATGTGCGGTGTTGGTCCTCGATAAACTGTGCTACCGTAAAGTGCTCGACTTCGCGCGCAAGTCGTCGGGCTACCAAAGCGGGGGTGCCCATCTCCTCTGCAGAGGTTCAAAATTGTGATGGCAAGTCGGATCATCCTCCGGGATGTTTCCCAGACCGTCGCCAATAGCCCATTGTGCAGCTCTAGTGCGACGTAAAGTAACAACAACAACAGCAGTAAAAGCATTCACACCGAATGTGGTTACTTTACTCACGATCACCTCGGAAGAAATTTGATTAGTGAATGATAGTTTTTCGCGAGAAACTCACCAATCAGGTATTGTTTTCTTTCAACGGTGATTCGTGGTGCGAGAATTTAATTTAGTAAGAATGCTCCTTTTAATAAATATGCGTGATTCCGAGGCAGCATGGATGACTCGGCTACCGGCTATCGATGGCCTTCAATAATGTGAATTGCTACTTAAAATGAAGTGATTTAACATGACCTTTATAAATATAAACAAATGCGCGGCCATTAGATCGAAATCTCGTGGTAGATTTGACTTCATAATTTTTTTTGCTTTGAATTTAAATTCTTAGAGAATACAAATTTTTCAATTAAATATTATCATTGTATGTTCAGTTTATTTACATTTTTTGAAAAACCTTTGATTAACTATAATAAAGAGATGATAAGTTTTATTATTGAAATTCGATAAGCACCTTGAGGAAATAAAATGCCTCCTAAACAACGTAAAATCGCTGTTATGGGATATCGATCTGTGGGTAAGATATATGATACCTAATATAAAAAAATAAAAATATCTTTTGCATGTTATCCGATTTTTTTTCTTCTTTAAATAAATAGAATATACTGTGTTGATTAATTAACCATTTTTTTTTATGATTGTATGTGGATTTAAAATAACGTGCCTGTGTTATATCTATAATAATACCATTCAAATGAATTCTTTATTTATAATTATGTCTGGACTATGTAGATTATTTTAAAAAATTGTGTTTGAAAGTTATTTCAATTTAAGATCCATCAAGTTCACCATCTCGAGAATCATGCAAGTGTGTTTGCTTATTTTTTTTAAAAAACAATCAAGTACATTGAAGTTGTTTTTTTTTTAGAAATATTCCTGTTGTTACTAGTGTTGGCAACTACTTATTTTATGTTATAAAGTGGGAAAAACTCTTAAGGAGTCATGTTCTCTGTATAAATATGAGTTCCTTGACACCTACAATATGCTCTTGTTTCTCCTTTTTTTAATTTTTATGAGGAATATTTGCTTGGGAATTTTTCCTTTGTAATGTATTAACTTGCAAATTTTTTTTTTAAAAAAAAAGAAGCTTGTAAAGGCTTGCCAAAGAGTTTATACAAGTCGTAGGATCCTTCTGAAAGTTGCCAAGACTACTGTTATTCTGATGGCGATCATGATCTAGGAATATTTCTAAAATGTATTTTGTGGTTTGTCTGTAGAAGGCTACAAGTTGTGCTTGTCAGTCAAGCCCTGTGACAGAATTTTTTGGACTTTCTGCGACATACCTCTCCAATACTAATATCTTTCTGCAAGATACTTTTAAAAATAACAAATATACATGTTATTAAGTTAGAGTAGCAGTAGCGTCTTTTCGGATCAAATGAAATAAGTTTGTAACTAAAAGTGTAATGTTTTTATATTCTAATATTATAGGCTATATTCTTGCATTTTGTTGGAGGAAAACACACTAATTATTTCCTTTTTCGCATTTTTTAAATCATCTCATTAAAAAAAAATTTTAAAAAGTGTTAAATCCGTAGCAGTAAATCGGACTCTTCAAAAAAAGGTTAGGTACTAAATGTGCGTTTTCATTTCGAGATTCAGTTGTTGTAATAAAATAATATCGTTTTAAAAATATCAGATTTTGAAACTGTGGAAATCAATAGTAATAACTGCATTAAAAAAATTAGAACAAAATTGCGGCAGAAAATAAAATTTAATGTTTACTTCATTATTTTTTATTGTTCTCAAATGAGAATAGAGCATCCTTCTGAATCCTAATTCTGAAGAAAATATAAAATCTTTCTTCAAGAACTCGCTAATGTTCTGCGACAATGTCGCCACGATTGTGCCAAGGGGTTGTCAAGTTGGTCCTTTTCTGTGATGTCTTAGTCTTACAGGGACAATTTCTGTAATGTTTCCTGTTCTAAAATTGTTTGCTGGGGTGATTTTTGAGTAGTAACCCACAAAAAACTAAAAATAAAAGAAACATTCCTGAAGGAGACCAATTCAAAGAACATAGCTAGTGACCTCCCCAAGGCTGCCTTGACAATTGTAGTTGGTGCATACATTTACAGATAAAGAGATATCTTCTGAATAGGTGGTCCGTTCACTTTTACTTTATTCATAGAAAATTCAAGATGTTTCACATTTATTGACAAGTAACTTACAAAAGAAGTAGTGGTTTGAATCACTTTGCTATCCCGTGATTCGCTTTCTATGGTAAAATGTCAGTGAATAGAACGTCGTGTATTGGCATTATTGGCCACATTCATTGGAGGTCGTACTTAAAAAGCATTGACGGTAATTTAAAATATCTGCTTTAGATATATTATCCAAACACGAGTTCTTTTTAATACTTTTAAAATCATATTATTGAAATATGTTAAAAATCATTGCTAGTAACATTTATTAATGTTAAGGTTGTGCCAAGTATTGTCAGAAGCAAAGAATTCTGCTGTAATGGCTGTTTAAATCATGCATGCAAAGGTTACTAAATATTATTTATAACTTAACCCAATAATTAATGTTTGTTGCTCAGAAATGCTCCTTTAAAATTTTTAATATAATGTCTGTATAAGTACATTGTTTGAACATAGTGAATTTTTTCATAAAAAAAGTAATTCAGTTTGACAGTTAAAAATGCTTTTGCTCACTAATGTAATATAAATAAAAATAAACTCATCCAAAATCATTTACACGCCTTTTTATATATCTTTCTTTTTTCACTTATATGGTTGATAAAAATTATTATTAAAATTTAGAATCTTTTGCAGGAAAATCTTCTCTCACAATACAGTACGTTGAAGCTCGGTTCGTTGATTCATATGAACCTACCATTGAAAATAGTAAACATTTTACTTTTACTCTTCAACAATATTCATTATCCTTTCCATATATAATGTTTTTTAATATCAATCTCCTTCATTCTTTTCAGCCTTCACTAAAACCACAAAAGTGGGTGGTCAAGAATTTTTCATCAAACTTGTAGATACTGCTGGACAGGTAATTTTCTAAATTTCTTTTAAATTTATTGTGTAGGTGTGCAGAAAAATCTCAGAGCCTAATATTTTCGTAGAATGAAGTTTTTTGGTTTGAAATGTTTATCAAAATTATAATGTTTTTTTTTTCATAGTTGAAATCATTTTTTTTAAATATTTTGAAGAAGTTTAGTTATACATTGCTAAAAAGTTTAAATTTTCTTTAACCAAATATTCATTATCGTTTAACAAATATATATATAATTTTATTTTGCGCAATTCATGAATAATCTAGCATGCGTAATAAAAATATTAGAAATCAAATTTCAAATAATTAAGTAAACGAATTGTAATTGCCTAAATCTCTCACAAATCTTGTTTATGTATAGGGATTATTTCCTCAATTCATTAACGTACATCAGCATTTAAAATATTTATTTTTATTAGACAATGGTATGCTATGTTTAAAATACTCGCAAGGAGGAAGAGATAAAATTATTTACTTCAGATTATATTTTTTAAAAAAATAAAATACAGGTAATTGTCATTTCCTGTGCAGAATTTGTACTTGTTCTGATTTTCTGAATAAAAAATTCTGTCTTGATATTCCTTTTTTTATTGTTTGCTTGTTTGTTCAGAATTTACCATCGAAACGAGTTCACAATTTTAAAATAATCATTAATTTAACAGTAAAAAATTTAATAGTAACCTTTAATTTTTTTTCTTTCAGTTAAATCTGAGAAATCCTATTCAGGCTATTTTGTTAATGTTAAAAATGAAGAATTTCTAATCAAGTTGTACATATTATCAATCTCAAAATAAAATGGTATAAATCATTCAAAAAAATGCTTTGTGAAAAATATATATTATTAAGTGTGTAATTGTTTTAATGTTTAAGAATTATAACTAATTTTGAGTAATTTTTATTTTTTTTTATTTTTAGGATGAATTTTCTATCTTTCCACAGTCCTATTCTATGGATATTCATGGCTATGTGTTGGTTTACTCAATCACTTCTACTAGAAGGTAAATACTGATTACTTAATTCAGTACTAATTACTTGATTCATTAAAAAGTTATAGAAAATAAAAATGAGCACAAAAAATCATTAAATAATTTTTTATTTTAGTCATTCTGATACATTACAGACACATACTGATTATTGCTGAAATTATTTATTAGCTGGTCAGGCATTACCTTCATTTTCCCCATTTTTTCTGGCAATTCTTGATTTATATTGATTAAATTAATGTTCTCCCTGACCGTTTTTAGAAGAGCAGCCTGTCCTTTGATTCCTGTAAATTCACCCCCTTTGTTCTTTTTGTAAAAACAAGCTGCCATCCTTTAAAAACACAGCCTTTTTATTCATTCAAAATTAATTCCCTGTTTAAATAATACACTGGTAAAATTATCTGTATATTGGTTTAATTCTGATTACTAATATTTACTGTTATTTTCAACTTATTAAATTTTTATAAGTATGTATCTCTTTTTTTGAAAGGGGTATTACAGTAGGGAACTGATTATCCGGTACGGTCGGGACCATCGCTATTCCGAAAAACTGATTTTTCCAGTTTTCTGAATCGCTACAAAAAGCCGGTTTTTTAAACCCAACTTAAAAAAAATAAAATATTTGTAAATAATCTTAAAAATAAGAAAAAGTGATCAAGTAATACACTAATGATTATTTCCAAAATGATGGTAAGTTAAACATCTTTAAAAAAAGAAAGAAAAAATCTTATGAAGAAAAAAAATAAATTTTTTAATGGCGAGAAAATTTATTGAATTTTGTTCTGGTTTTCCGGTTTTCTGATTTCCGGATAATGGGTTCTGTACTGTAATAACAAGTTTTTAATGATTCGAAATTATTTTTTAAATAAATACCCTTTTCTTTTTTTTTTTAAATGCACGTTTTTATGTTCATTTTCTCATAATTTTCAGTTTAAATTATGGAAAAAGCTATCAAGTTGTTTATTGATTAATCATTTATTTTAGTTTACTGTTTTTGAAAGAAATTTATGCGCAGAGATTGTCTTTTGGCATGCATTTAATTATTTTTATAAACTGCAATATCTTCTCTTATGTTTCTAATGAGAAAAAATTCTTCTTGGAAATTAACACATAAAATAGCATAAGAGGGTATTTAAAAAATTGTTGAGGATAAAATTCAGTTACAATAGAATATTACACATTTTAATAAATTTTTACAGTGGTAAGTGAGTGCCAATTCAAAACTCAATACCCTTTTCTGAAAAGCAGCATCCTGCCCTTTTTATATTCTATTGAAATATAATGTTATTTCGTAATTAGTTATTTTTTTAAAAAAATTAGCATTTTTATAAATATAATTCCATTGATTTACCAAATTTTCAGAGTTTCTTTTTCAAAAACCTACATTTATTGTTATTTTGCTTCAATTCTTACTGAATCACAATTCTTATATTATGATTCAAAAAGTTTATGTTTATGAATGACACATCGCTATACTTAATTGAATTAGTCTACAAATCCTGTCCCCTTTTTTCTTTATTCCTAATGAGAACATAAATATAATGGAATTTCATTAAATATAATGTCATTTCATAATTGGTTATTTTAAATAAAATATTAGGTTTTTTAAAAATGATTCCACTAATTAACCAAATTTTCTGAGTTTGTTTTTCAAAAACCTACATTTATTCTTATTTTGCTTCAATTCTTAATTATTAATGAGCGGAAATGTGTGTAACTTATTATATGATGAAACTTTTAAATTATAAGTTTGCTTCAGCTTAAAGTAAAATAATTTGCTGTTTAATTAACATATTTCTATTATTTTTTAGTTTTATGCTTATATAAATAAAAACACTAATGTAGTTTTTAAACTTATTTTTTCTTATCTAAATTAATTTATTCATAATTTGATGTCTGACGATTCAGGTCTTTTTCTTTACAAATTTATGAGAATGTTGAGCTTAACAAGGAGTAACTGTGATTTTATTCGTGCATCAATTATTTTATTATAATGTTTTAATTTTAGTTATAAATTTAAGGTATTTTAGTTATAGTAGTATTTTTTAAATAGTTATTATCTTAGCATTATTAATATATTCTGTCAACTTTGATTGGCATGTGTAAAAAAAATCTGATTTAAGTTGTTAAGAAATTATCCATTTTAAATTAAGAAAAATATAGGTAGACTCCATTTAATTTTAATAACCTTCATTCTTATTTAAATATTGCATCATAGATTTTCTTCTGATACCATTACATTTGTTTATTGAACCAGTTTTTACTCTAACACTACTATTTTTTTTCCTAGCTTTGAAATAGTAAAAACCATTCACCATCGCCTGTTGGATATGACTGGAAAAGTTCAGTAAGTTGCTGTTAAAAATTTTCTTATTTAGTTTTACTAATTTTAAATTTCATTCATTAACACTTAAAGCTTAGTTTTCCTCGAAGCATTTTGACTTGGCCTTTGAACCATCTAACACAATGGGCCATAACCCCTCGGCTGCGGACTGGTACCAGGCCTTAAAACAATTGCTACCAAGCCACCTTTCACTTTTTATGAACGAAACGTTAACGGGAACCTAAGATCTGCACCAATTTGGTAAAATGTGACTTATTTTGTTTTGAAGGCATGCTTAAGTGCAATTACATTCAAATTATTAAATCAAAACCATCTAAAATATAAACAATCAATGTCCGCTCCTCACTTAAAAGACTGTAAAAAATTAGGAATCATTAACCTGTCTGTGGGTTCGGGAGCACTGATCTATCACATTATTTTAAAAAATGTCTTTTTTTTAAAAAATACATAAGAGCAAAATGTATCCTTTTTTTTTAAAACTATCCTTTATAAGAAACTTAACTTGTATTTTATTGGTTATTCCACTTCTTTGTTTGCTTGTTATCTTTTCAGAAGCCTGAATTTAACCCCAACCTTTTTATTTTGCACACTATGTTCATGTCAATAAGTTAGTATTTACGGAAAAATTTATTTTCTTACTAATCTGATGGAAAAAAATTCCAATATTGATCATAAGTCTCATACTGTATTATAACTTTATAGTAGCAAATTTTGTTTTTGTGAAAGTTAACTTTTGTAGTTATGTTTTTTTTTTTTTTAAATATTTATTTATTTTTACTGTTGGAGTAATAAAGATATGCCCATTTGAGCCTTATATTTTTCTATCAAATTCTATCTGCAGACGTGCCAACTCTCCCGCATTTTGCGGGAGTCTCCCGAATTTTGAGTTATTCTCCCGCCCTCCGGAATTGATTTGAAAAACTCCCGAATTTTACTGCGATCGACGGCCAAATTCAAAATTACCTAATTTTTCCACGAGTGCGAAAGTAAGTTTTTCTTTCAGCTTGAATTCCATCCCCTCTTATCAAACTACCATCTGCCTGAAGCGTAGCTGAACATGCTTTATTTTCCCCCCTCTTCAACGTTACCTCTAAAAACACTCCTATTTCACCCGCCCCCTTACACTGGGGGCGGGTGAAATCTTCCTCTTCTTTCGTGTGGAGTTGAATGCAATGACGTCACATGTCGTTATCGAGTGACGTCCGTTCAGGAGTGGGGAAACTCGTACTCTCGATAGTTGGAATTGATATTGTATCTTGCTGTTTTTATAGTTTTTAATGCGTATTTTTCCACGGTTGGCAACAAGCTCGTAAACTAGCAACGTGATATCAATTATTCGTTTAGTCTTCGTATATTTAAAAAAAAAAAATTTCAAGGATGTCTTAAGTCGAAACGGAAGTATGGATCAATTTCAACAAATCATGTACCAATGACTTTAGCAAGACTTAATTGCGGAGAGCTAAGTCTGCAACTCTTTTTTTCATGCATACAGTAGAGAACCATTTATCTGGTATCCAGATAATCCGGAAAAAAAATTTGCTCGGTTCTCCCGCCATTTTGAACTAAAACGATATGAAAAAA